GCAGGTAAAGCTTCCTAATGACTGCTACTTTCATATCAGATCGAAGTATCGAGAGAATAAAGCCAACTTCGCAGGTTTGGTGGAATTGGTTATTGTTTGTTTTTTAAAAGCAGGAATCTGAATACTCACAGCGGCATGTAACTATGCCCAAAAAGAAAGACAGAGACCCTGGAATAATTGCAACAATCTTACCATTTTATGCCTTCGGGATATTTATTTATCTAGTATACACTATCGTTAAGGTTAGTCTAGGATTTTTAGTAAGTCTGTATAATTACAACAGTAAAATGAGCTTTTGCTTCTCAGAGCATAGTTTAAGGAGTGGCTTTACTAGATATTTATATTTAATTTGCTATGGTTTAAAGATGGTTGCTTTTTACTTAGTTGCTGAACAATCGAAGAAAAGTAAAGTCAAAGGAGAAGGAAAAGCACTTGAACGATTATTATCGTAATTTTTGCTACGTTTCTGAAAAAGGAAAATTCAAAATGGACAGCGACTCCTCTGATGATGAACATGGGAATGGACTACGTAAATTTAGAACTCCATGTAAGCTCAACACTTCTAACAAATTATTTTGCAATTTTTTAGGTGACATAGGATGGTCATCTGCTCCAGAAAGTTCCAATGCAACCTCCAATGTCTGTCGCTCAGTCGCAGATCTGCCCAAGGACTTGGAATACTTACTCAAAAAGGCCGATGAAGATAATCTAGGCAAGCTGTAAAACGTCCTTAAGTATTTTTAACTATTTCGTGGCGTTGTATTACTGTACCGTATTGTCAGAGTCTTCATGTCTCAACATCTCTTTACTTTAAGCTGAAGGCAATGAATATGATTTGGTTAGCTTCCCCTGAACTATGCGTCTACTTTTACTAAAGTCAGCCCACATTTATCCTCTAGTTAAATTATTTCTTTAAATGCAAAATGTTTGCAAAAATCTGGACTTCATGCATGATTAACATGGGTTATCTTCTTGCCCTTACAGTCCCTGCAATTAATTTTCTATTGTAACAAGAATAATGAGTCAAATTTTTGACGGTTTTTTTAATGCACTAATACCAAGTATAAACGTGCATGTAATTCTATAGATGTTCCAAGTACTAAAATATTTGAGCATAGAAAGTGGAGCTGTCTGTCCGTTCTAGATGACGTGGAGATAACGCGGCTGCGAACTCTTCTCGAGCAGATGGAGATCGAGATGACTCGTCTGCTGGAGGCTGTGAATAGTTCGGCCACTCTCCTCACGCAGCCCCGTAGTGAGAGGGGCAAAAGTGAGGTGATGGATGCGCAGTGCATCGATGCTCACAGCGATGACAGCGAGGCACTCTTCTCAGCTGAAGAAAATTAAGGAGGGTGAGTTTCTAAGGTTGAGTAGGCTATCACTGTTATTAAGAAAAGTTTTTAAATCAAGTACTTGAGGACAGGCGGTAGTTTTCAGTCGGGGGATGTCGTTCTACTTTTTATCTGTAAGTAAATACATTATAAGCTCCCTATTAGGATGTAACACCGAGGTTTTGGTCTTGGATTCAGCAGTTGACCTTAGTGATGTCCCCAAGATAACATACCATCGGCCGAAACTATAAAATACTTCAAATCGTCATTCTCTTAATCTTATTTGGCCTCCAGATTGGGGAATTTTCAAACCAGTTTATATTTTCAGCCTGAAACTTTAAAAAGTAGGTGATGGAATGAAATTCTGGGTATACAAAACTTTGCGTTAACTATTCTGAAAAACTGAATTTCGATGCCATAAAACACAGATATTCGCCTAAGACTCAGATATTACGGCTTTGTGATATGGTTAGGCAATTTTAAAAGTAGATTAAATACGAATTATTATATTTTGTGACGCAAGTAAATCGCATTACACATGCAGCACACCTTCCAGAGTGAGTTCATTCCCTGATACTTGATGTTGAGCTAAGAATGCGTCACAACCGCTTGGGTATATTCCTTTGGCTAACGGGTACTCTAATGAGCAGATCAAGTTACTGATTCCTTACTGTGATTCAAGCTGTTTTTCCCTTTAGGAGTGAATCTGGAGGCATTCCAACGGCCTTAACTGCGCTGTGTTGCCGACACACTATGAAGAACGTTCATAAATTAATGCAAAACCCGAATTTTCCCCGAGTTTTAGTTGGGAAATATGTGCAAATACAGCCTTGTCCTAAAATTAAGTTTACTTTTTATAAATATATACTTAGAGAAACTCAGCCTAACCTTTTCGAGTTGTAAGCGGTGGAGGTTCGCGTCTGGCTTTCCTGTCACCGAAGGTTTTCAACCGCTTCTTATTTATGAAGAGCTATGACTGATAAGGGTTGCGTTCAGTGATTCCCAAGTAAGAAACAGCTTTTGCTATTAGGATCAAATCGTGGCGGTTAATCATAGTGGTCTCGAAAGGGCTGGTGGCTAGTTTACAGTTAGAACCATAGTCTACACCCGAACCCAGAGTTAGAGGACGATAGATAAGCAGCACTTTCTGCCCTCACAGGCCGTTTAGCGTTTTATCAGGTGTATTGTTTTCACGAGAAAAGGGATAGTTTTTGTGAGTGCGAACTGGTGATTGCACGGCGGTCGAAAGCATTTGTAAATTTGTAGCAGGTTGTACCAGCGTAAAGGAGGCTTTACAGTTAACTTCCCTAATGGGTGACAGGCTTCAAACTTTGTCAGAGGGCCATGTCACCAAGGTGACAGTGAGCTAGGTTACCTGAAAACCACTGTGTTGAATACTGCATTGACTACAAATCTCCAAACTTTAACTCAGTTTAGGATTAAGCTGTAGTTTAAATAAGTGTGCAGTATTTAATAATTAAATACTCATCTACTAAGGTAATTGTGTAGGACATACGAAGACTTCTTTAGGTTTATTACTGCGACCAACTATGCATTTTAGGCTCGTAGAATTTAAAGCTTACTTTGAATGTAAGTAAGTCAAGTCGTAGCTAGATTGAGTATTTGTAGGGAAGTGGTGGCATGTTTTTAATAATGTAGATAAGCATAGCCATATCAAAGGTAAAAAATTTAAGTAGCGGTAGATAAATGTTAATAAGAGGTTTGCGCACAATTACAAAAGGCACACCTAACCTATTTAAAGGTTTATCAAGAGTTGAACCGGAGGCTTTTTGTTTAAGTCAACCGTGTCCCTTTTAGCTGCTCTCACCTGGGGCTTCAGTAGGTTTGATGCGTAGGTATGTGGGCGTTCCCTGGGCGGTATCGAACGTTTTTTGGCGTGTTATGCTTAAATTTACTTTATTATGGAATGTAAGTTCATGAAGTTAGGTTTCACTTTAGTCTCATAAGCCTCCTAAAGGGAGTACTGCGTGGGAACTTGTTTGGATTTTTTGTAGTTAAACCTTATGTTACCTGATGTATAAAATAATTTCTCTGTTTGCTTACTCCGCACTAGCTCTTTGAGGAAGGCTTGGGCTTGAATGAGGTTCCAAAGGCCAATTTGATACAAGTATGGGGTCTTAGTAGTATTCTCCTAGCCATATTTTTGCAACACTCCACGTAGTTTAATATCTACCATTTTTGCTTTTTTTTTCTGTGTTACTCATTTAAAGTACAACCATGCTCACTACTAAATATGGGTTTACTTGTAAAACACAAGCTTCTTGCGATGCTCAATCGTTTTCGAATTAATTTTATCAAAAAGTGACTGATCGCATGACGTCATCGCAGTGCTATTAAACAGTACGTGGAGTTTAGACGGTTTTAGGTTGCAGCTTCCACTTAAAAGGAATTCGATTCCAGTCATCGAAGAATAGTTATCGTGATTTCAATAGTGGGGTTATGCTGTTAATTTAAATAATTACTGTAGCATAGGATTGCCTTTTATATCACTGAACTTCGAGTGCCTTTACTAACATATAACATTGTTACTTTATGTCGTATACATTTGGCGAATATTTGGTGTTAGATGTGTACTGTTTTACATGTCTTTAATTCATGTTTCGTGTGTCCACCCCATTTGATATAGTCTTATTTCATGAAAAGATTTCCTAGTTAGTTTGTGTTTGCAGTTTGGAGCATGAAAGTAACTGTGATTATTTTAGGTTTGATTGTGAATAGTTCGGTTAAGCCATGAGGTCTACTTGTGTTCCATAAGAGTGATGTTGCATAGCTTTCAGATAAAAAAGGAGTAGTTTATCTTCATTTTAATGTATTTTTTAGAACTCAGGGTGAGCACTTCCAATGCTCCCAACTTCATCAAATCCATTCCTCTTGACTCAAGGATTGTATCAAAATGTTTTTGATTCTCCGACTTCAAATCTGCTCAGAGATACGGATTTTATGTCACCTGAGAGCCTAAATGGGCACATTTATAAGGCGAATAAGTTGAAGATGACGAAGCACGTTGGTGCTTCGAAGAATTTCGGTGCTGGTGACCTTCCTCACGAATTTCGATCAGGCATTAATTTGCTGCCAAGTCAACGGAGCGTTCATCAAGGCCAATACAGTAAGAAAAGGAGAACTGATGGGACGTCTCCATACTACTGCAAAAACCCACTTCTCACTATGCCTTCTCACGTTGCCATTATGCAACCTGTGCTACAGCCAAACTCCTTTTTCAACCAAAACATTTTTAATCACCTGAACAGCGGCAACCAATCAAATTCCTTTGTTCAACCGCAAACATTTAACACCCTTGCGCGGAACAACGGCTTTCAACAGTTGTCTACCACCTATGACAGCTTCCAGCTGAACTCCTCCACTGGCTCTCCTGGTTATCCGGGACTGTTAAATCCAGTTCCGATAACGAAAACTCTTTCCATAAACAACACTACGAACAAAGTGTCAACTACCTCAACTTTGAAGTCGAATTCTCGCACTAGTGGTAATGATGGAGATTACAACATTGTCGTCGGTGAAGTTCTTCGTTCTTCTTCTGAAAATTACGAAGTTCTTTCGTTTTTGGGTCGTGGTACTTTTGGCCAAGTTGTCAAGTGTCAGTGCCGAAGCTCCAACAGAATTGTAGCCATCAAAATTCTGAAGAATCATCCCTCTTATCTTCGCCAGGGCAATGTTGAAGTTCAAATTCTCCAGACACTGAGCCAACACGATACGGAAATGCATAACATTGTTAGGGCCATTGAATGTTTCCAGCACAGAAACCACATGTGTCTGGTTTTCGAGCTGCTTGAACAGAATTTATACGAGTTTCTAAAGTCGAACAACTTCCGGCCTTTGGATCTCCGCGAGATTCGTCCTATCGCTCAGCAGGTGCTGACTGCTCTTTCGAAACTGAGGAACTTAGGCTTGATTCATGCCGACCTCAAGCCTGAGAATATCATGCTCGTCTGTCCCACAGATGGCATAATGCGGTATCGTGTGAAGGTGATTGATTTCGGCTCTGCCTGTCACAGCTCTAAGGCTGTTCAGAACACATACCTCCAATCCCGTTACTACAGGGCACCTGAGATACTTCTCGGACTCCCCTTCAACGAAGCGATTGATATGTGGTCTTTGGGGTGTGTCATCGCTGAGCTATTTTTAGGCTGGCCTCTCTACCCTGGTTCTTCCGAATACGATCAAGTAAGTACAAATGCCAACTTGAGGCGCGAATGATGTGTTCGTTTGAGGCATGAGTGGTCTTTGCTAATCGGGCAGCAAACTTTACAGAAAATCGGGCGGTAGTTTGCTAGTGTTACTCGATCGGTTTTATTTGCATGCTGTTTAAGCGGACTGCGCAGACAGTAATGCCTGTAGCAAGTTAGTCATATATGTGTGTACATAAGTTTATAGCGCTTTAGTCGCAAGTTCGACATCGGATAACCTTGGATGTATTTCATTGCTCGCCGCTGCAGCTGAACTTGCGCGTGCGATTTTTAATCTCATAAACGCGGGGTCTGGTCACCTTCTACCACTGCTGTGTGTTTGTGTGCGCGCAAGGGGGTGTGTATTTCGCTGGTGTACTGTGCTGTGCGCACTAGCGAACTATGCGTATGAAGATGCATCGGTATAGGCACACATGCATACATACACACACACACACGCACACCTAAAACGCGTGAAACTTAACGCATATTATTCCTAGAATCAAATCTATTCAAATCTATTCCATACTGGGAGACTAATTCACCGAAACGCCTTAGGCACGTGCAGGCGAGTGGGCGGTTCTATTTCATTTGTGAAATACGCTTACGAATGGATGAGGATGTGCGAATTCTTAAAGTTTTCCTCCTCACATGTATCCTTCACGGGGCAAAGTTTGTACCAGTTCGAAAAGAATTGCTCATGGACCCGCGGAATGCATAAATGATACCACCATGTAATCGCTCTTGCAAGCAGGGTAGCATAAAATATAGAGGCAGGGGCTGGCTCTGTTACTTAATGTGGGCTCCTTTTCAAAATACTACTTCGCTTTAAGAAGATTCATGTTAATTGCTCGTCGTTTCCACCTACGCAAGCGCAAAAATTTAATGGTCTAAGACTAGAATGGCTAGACATCATTATCACTACTGTTATTTACAATTCCAAGATTCGCTACATAGTGGAGACGCAGGGCTTGCCGCCGCGCGATCTCCTTAAGATGGCGGGAAAGGCGGGCCGTTTCTTCGTGCGTGACGCCTTCACTTTTGAATGGCGTCTCAAAACACAGGAGGAGTACGCTCTGGAGACCGGTCAACGCGCCAAGGAGACGCGTAAGTACATTTTCAGCTCTCTGGATCAGATCCGTGAGGTCACACTCAACACTGCCGGCTCTGGCACTGCTCTTGATGATATGGACGTCAAAATGGAGTCGGAGGATCGAATACATTTCACCGAGCTCCTCAGCCAAATGCTGCAGCTTCGACCTACCGATCGCATTCTGCCTGACAATGCCCTTCTTCACGGCTTTGTCACAATGTCTTATATGCGAGCCTACCCTTACCGGAAACGGTGAGTTGCATTTTTAAGGCCTTTCTCCGTGTGCGCATGTGTGCAAAGACTACATTGGTGGTTACATGGATGAAGTGTTCTTGTTGACATACTCAAATCGGCATCACGTGCTCTCTTAGGTCATTGGACCTGCCCTTGTTTTTGTACTAATCATCTTCTCCTAAAAAACAGGGTTCGGGAATCGATGGATTTGATGCGGGTCTGTTATAAACCCTACTGCAACCAACACAATCTTGAATTGGTCAACGCCGTTCAACAGCAGCAGCAACAACAACGGCAGGAACAAGCTATGCTAGACGAAGCAATTTCCACTCGGGCTGTAACTGCTTTCGCCGCGCAGCAGCATTTTCTGTCTTTCGGCAGCTTTCTTCAACCTCCTACGACCTCCGCTGAGCCTGGTTGCCATGACCAGCGACCTTCAGCATCTACCTACTACTTTACACCACAACAGTCAGTCCCATCTCCTATCTACTATCACCAACATCACCAACAAAAACACCAGCAGCACATTCTTCGTCCTCAACCGCCCCCACCACCTCCACCTCCCGATTGTCAGGCCCCCTCACTTTACGACCAGTTGATTGCGGCGGCGTCTCCTTACGCCGCTGCCGCTGCTCATGTTATGGCTCCTCAGCCCCCACCACCCCCTCCCGGACAGGTTCAAAGCCACCAAAACGCAGCTGCAGCTGCAGCCGCCGCCTTCATGATGCAGTCCGCCATTATGGCGGCCAATGGCGCCTCCCCTACAAAACCACTGCCTCAATCTAGACCCACTGCTGGCGGCGGTGGCGGGGATCACGCCATGACTGCTACTGCTTTGGCTGCAGCCTTTGCGGCTACAGGCTACACCAACAAAGCAGTCGGCGTCAGGGACTCGCAATGCATTCTACCCTTTAGTCACCAGGCCACTCAACAGTTGCCCAGTGTTGACTCCTCTGCAGGAGTTAATCAAGTTTGTTCCATCAATACCCCTACAACAATCATTGTTATTGTAAGCCTCATCTCCCTTTGCTTCTTCCCACTAGAACATTGACTATCTGATGAATTGCGTGTCCGGAGTGCTACCCGAGACCACGGGATGCGTGTCGACTGCACACACACTGCAGCGGCGTCAACTGCGTCGGTCTGAGAATGATATGCCTCTCTTCTTGTCATCCTCCTCAGCTAATACCTCTACCGCCTCCCAACCCCTTTGCTACAGTACCCCTCACCAGTACCTGTCACATTTGCCGGCGGCTCCTCCCATCTCTCTTATCTCCCCTCAGCAGCCACAAGCTCAAATGCAGGTGCAGGCACAACAGCAGCAACAACACCCCGATGTTGCGAACAGTTCTGCAGCCGCAGTGGCTACCGTTTCCTCGCTGGCTGCTTTGCGCCATCTCATAATAAATGGCAACACCCAGGCTGATCTCACCGCCACCAACCAACTCATTTGGGAGAGTATTATGCACGAACACCAGCAGAAGTCTGGCTTCTTCACCGGGACTGACTTTAATATTCCACCGGCTGACCTCTATTCGGTGCGTGTGGTCACCCTCTTCATTAAAGATGCATTAGTCGTGGTGGTAGCAGCAGGCAGCTTGATGAAACCCCAAGCTCACGCTTAAAACTTAAAAAGTTTAAAGGCCATTTTCATCCCAAAAATCACTTAATAGCTTACGCCATTAATGAATTGGATGTGTGTGTTGAAGTCGTCGCTTCTTTTGGCTCTTCAGCAATTGGTTCAGCTGGGAAAGCAGAAGCAGGCGTACTACTATGGCCAGAAATGTCAATTTCTGCATTGTGGCGACCAGCATCATCATCAGAAGCAAGTTCCACCACAATCTTTGCCAGTACAAGCGCCTCCACCTCCACCACCAATCGCACCGTCAACGCTTACATCGCCATTACCATCACAGCAACAACAGCAGTCTACAGATCCGCAGTTCTTTCTACAGGGGCTAACACCATCCCAGCCTCTGCTTCACTCCACGTCGACACCCTTTCCACTCCTACACCAGACCCCAGCAAGAACTCATGATGCAGTCCAGTCAGCCGTGAACCTCGTGCATCACATCTTCCCTCAGAGCTGCCAACGTTCTGCCTCCTCATCTTCCTCTCCTCGTGCTGGTAATGGCGGTGGTAACGACGATGAGGACGAAAGGGATGAAGTGGTAAACATCGCCTCGAGTTTCACCGAATGCCATTCCAATATAACTGAAGGCGACGGTCCCATAGCCAGCGCTCTTCGCTCTCCAGCCTCCCCAAATACCGAGGTCGTCCTTGAAATGCCCGTTCTTGCACAATCCTCACCTTCCCGTAGGTTCTCTCGTCCTTTTCTCAGACTCGGTTTCTTCGTCGCTATCCCTTGCTATTGCGCTCCGTCCTATCGCACTGTTTATCAGCGATGGGAGCGGTATTGTTCATTTGTGTCTGTACTTTTGGAGGCGAGCCATCGAATGAACTGAGGAGGGCTTGGCGACGCCGGCAGATTTTTATGCACTTCTGTAGCATTGCCCTGGTGCGCGCACTCAGCACCAACGGTGCAATAAAAAGGGTCCTTTTTATTCTCCGTCGCTCTTCCTATCTGCGTCTTTGACAGCAAATTGCGCAACTTAGTAGCACTGCAATGCACCACTGATATTGATAAATTGAGTGGACTATTTCGGATACCTGCATATCCCTCAGTTTTGATCCAAATTAAGTTACTCCCATCAATTTAGTGTGATTATCCGAGTCAGTGTAATTACTGCATGACTATGCGAACGATTAGGCTTTTGAAGCGACTAGGCTAACAGCTTTCGTGATGGCGGCAGAAAATTGTGTTATTACCAGCCCCAAAAATCAGCGGCAAGATGACTAGTAGTAGGCATACCAGGGAAGCCATCAGCTTTCTGCCGCTGTACTCCGTACTTCTATGTGTGCACACGCGTGCCATGTGTCTTACTAACTGTGAACAGCTAACTTGATTGATTGTATTATTTCTCACTCCCCAACTCCTCTCTCTCTAGTCGTCTGCACCTCCTCGAACTCGGGGGAACGGTCAGGGCCCCCAGAGGTGATGGGGGCCATGAACGCAGACGTCAGCCTCGTCTACTCTGACATTACTAACGTGGGTGAATTGGACGAATCGACGGAGGAAGTCCACAAGACGGCTACTACCGATGCGAAAGAACAGGAGGCAGCAGCAGACAAAAATAGATCGTCTGAGTAGGTTTCTTTAAGACGTTTAACTATTAATCCCCCCCCCCCCCTATCTCCTACACTTTTTGTGAAGAAGGCGCCCCATACGGGACGTATGTGTACAGACATAAGGAAAGTGTTTATGATGATGTTGGACTGCTAGTGTATCAAAGGCCGCTTACCGTCACTGAGGTGGATGGGGAGGGGAGGTATTGTGTCCAAAATCTAGCCTGTGCTGTTCCGACTAATCTTCCCATGCACGAGGATGGCCGATGCTTGTGTGTGTGTAGTACGGGCTTGCCATCTCGTCTGCCGCCTTATATGTAGAGCGCGTGTCCAAGTTTACACTCAAAAATAATTGACGATCGTGGATTATTGAATGCTCTATTTCGTGTGTGCGTGTGTGTGCTTTCGGAACCGCCCTAATGACTGCGCACGCTTGTGCCATGACAACTTCTTGATCGAGTGCCTCGGCGAATGCCTAATGACTCCCAACTCTCGTTAACATCGTCAAACCCTTTGGAATTTCTCTTCCGATTTCACGGTGGATTTATTCTATTTATTTCTTTATTGCGCAGGCCCTTTCATAACACTGCAGCCTCCGACCAACCTACCTCATTAATCCACCGTCCTGATAAGAAGAGTAAGCTCAATTTTACCTTTTTTGCTTATTTTTTTTCTTTCAGAAGAGTAAATTTAGTGTTTTTTAAATCGTGTGCTTGCTTACAGGGTTATTTCCCATTGGTTAGTTAATGCCCTGCAACCTGTCCCTAGTTTTGCTGTCCCCATAGCCATGCGCTAATTTTGCTAGCTATAGATTATGTACTAACGTGATTGTTAGATTCGAAGTTATAAAAACGCACCTGCACTTAATTGTTTGCTGCTTTCAGTTCCTGTAGGTCGAGTGCAGCCAATGAAAAAGGCGGAGTGCAACGATGGTGCGTGTTTTGCTCAACCCCAGGCTCCGCTTCTCAGCCATTGTTATGCTCAGCCACAGCAACAGGCGCACTCCTCCCTTCCCGCCTGTTCAAACGCATCTGCCTGCTGTTCCACAGCCATCTTCACCCCCGAGGGTGCAGCCGCTGCTGCTGCTGCCGCCGCCCTCCTTTTTAATAGTAACTGTGCTCAGCCCCAACCGGCGCTGTTTCCAGTCGCTACTCATCACCTCCACAGTCAACACCATCTGCGGCAGCAGCAACAACAATTAGTCACTGCTGAAGCCTATCGCAATCTTATCCTCTTGCAGCAGCACATCAACCTCTCTGCTGCAGCCGCAGCTCAGTTCATCACTGCTGCTGCTTCCTCCTCTGCTGCTGCAGCCGCTGCTGCTGTCTCTTCCTCTCGGGTCTCCTCAGCGCTGTCTCTCGCCGATACAGTTTCAGGCGACATTAGTGTAGGTGGGAATCACTCTTTGGAACAACTAACTGCCCACTTTATGGCCGCGGCTGCAGCGGCGGCCAGTAGCGGAAGCGGCAACACCAGCAGCAACAGTGCCAGCAATACCAGTCGACCTCGCTACCTCTAGACCTTCCACGCGTCATTCTCTCTTTGTTCTCTCTGTACGTGTGTAAAAATTGATTTATCGATGGTATTCCTTCCATCTCTTTCCGATCCTCCAATGTAAATAGATACATATGCGAACACTCACATGCTCCGTAGCCTAACATTCTGTGATTATTTGTTTCCTTTTTCCTCTCCTTTGTCTCTCTCTCTATGTGTGCATGTGCGTGCGCATGTGTGTTTAATTCCGGCCGTGTGCGGTATGATGTCTGTGGTTGCTCTCTGACACTCAGAATATAGTTAATCGATGGACGGCACAACCACCGACACTGCCACACCCACTCCTGCGTGTGCGTCTGTGACTGCTGGAGTGTTGTGCCTCCACACTCAAGTACGAGCATCCACTAAATCGAGCAACATTCCCATTTAAGGGCCTCTGCGTGTGTGCGTGTCATTCTCTACACATGCAAGCACCGTCTACACTTTGTCATATCCATCACACTTGGTTTGGCAGATGTACTACTCCCCCCCCCCCACTCCCGTGATACATGAATCGGCCTCCTCGGCTGCTTGTTTACGCTTCAAGCCCCAATTGTAATTCCTCCTATTCTTTCTCTTCCTCCTCCTCCTAATGCACCAGTAAACGGTTCATCCTTCATTTTTTTGGAGGGGTGCCACGATCTATTTTTCCAACTGCTTACATGTTCAATGTGATCGGGGCACTAGCTGCTGCCATCAGCCTCAAAACGGAGGGTTGGGCGAGGCTTAGTTGTGTCAGTGAATCGGCTCTACATATCACATGCAGTTTCTGAATGCACAGCTTCTTCGAATTTGATAGCATTGCATAACCCGAAGTCGGTGCTTAGGTGTGTGCGCGAATGAATGCGCTTGCGGGTGTTCCATGGAAATTTATCAGTTTCATGCGCAAGTGAGGTGCATTGGTACGATTTGTTTATCGGGTGGTTTTCATCTGAGAAGTGAGCGATTCTGTTTGGTACTGATGCCAACTTTTACACTTATGTCAGCTAGACGCGAGCAGTCACTTGTCTTGATAGATGCTTAAGTGTTGCGCTGGAGCGTTGGTCTGCCACCGGCTTCAGGTTCACATGCTGAGTGGAGCTATGGCAACCATTGCACCAAGTTGAGGTTTGTTTCAAAACCGACGAATTCAATCAAATGCGCCAGTCGCGGATGGTTGCCAAACTCTACTTTAGGCGGTTTGCAGTCACAGCCCAGCAGCACGTACGCTGGCGTAATTGAAGCTTCGCAAAACTGCAAGCAAATGCAGAATCGTAGATTCGGCAGCACGATAGATTCGGTCGGACGAGTGGGGTTCGCACGGTGCTGAGTCATCAAAGGTCAGGTCTGTTTGCAGGTAGGGGGTTGAATGACAGCTGTAAAAGTTGCTTCCACTAAACTCCTGTGCTGTAGATATTTCGTTGGTTTAGAAACGAACGTGAGATCTAGGATACCACGCATGAAAACCGGTGTTGGACCAGTATAACTGTTAACAGCTAGTGGTAAGGCATAACTGCAGATAATTAGGCTGTGTTCATAAAGCAGAAGACCGAATCTTTGACTACAGAATTATATTGCTTTGCTGTAAAGGATAGGGAGCGTTTGCTATTTAGGCATTTCATTGCATATGCCATATTGTTAAGGGAATGGAGGGCCTCATGAACTAACTAGAAATTTGCAGTATAAATACATGCAATGCGGAACTGGACTTGAGTATCAAAAAAAGCAAAGAACGCATTAAATCGGAGAGTTGGTCGTTTATACATTTGGTCCAAAGGCCTTTAAATAAAAGCCAACCAACTGGCAATTTAATGGAGAGTGATGTTACATTCATTCAAATACCCTTGGGCACACTGAAAAAGCCAAAACAAATAACATACACCACTTTATCGCCAATTGTTCCTATTAACAAGTTCAAATAGGATGCGACTAATAACAAGCGGTCTTACGGTAAGTCCAAGAATGCAATACAAGTTAGAATCGATCATAGAAACCGCTGTATAACGAGCGCACAGTACTTAATTAAATGTTTTACCAAAGCTGCGATTCTAAATATATCTTTAAATGGGGGGTTATAATTAAACGTATGGGATCAAATACCACTGCTTAAAGGCCCCCTCTTATAAGGAGCGAATTTTGATATTCGTGGGGATTGACGTCTTGGGTTTGCTCGTGAAATGGCGCTTAATCCTTACATGCATAATCGAAACCCATACAAAAACAAAAAGCCATCGTTCAAAAGCTTAGTTGAGAAATACCCTTTCTTTGCTGATGTGGTCGTGAAGGATGACAATGGCAAAATATGTCCCGAATTCAAACAACCCAAATTTCTTGCCGCACTTGCTCGTGCTTTACTTTTGGAGGATTTCGATTTAGACGTAGAGGTTCCGGTCGATCGCCTCATCCCAACGATTCCACTGCGTCTAAATTACATTTTGTGGATCGAAGATATCTTATCAGGTAACAATAATTGCCTAATAATATTTCCTAGTAATGCAGGCCAGGAATTCCCCGCCGGTTATATTGGACATTGGCGTTGGCTCGTGTTGTATATATCCTGTCATCGGAGCAAAAAAGAACGGGTGGAATTTTATCGGCTCTGAAACTGATATGAGAAATTACAATCACTCACTGGAGACCGTTCAGAAAAATGGATTGAGCGGCAAAATCAATCGTAACAACCCATTCCATAAGTAGACTTTTCTATTTTAGTTGTTCGCGTTAACGATGATGTATCGAGTCCATTAAAGCAAGTTTTCGAGGAATATTCCGCTACCTTGGGTATCGATGTGTCTCAAATTAAAGTGGATGTTGTCATGGCCAACCCACCATTCTTCGAAGACGTCGCAGACTCCATTGGTGCAGAGTCCACACGCTCACTTTCGCGAGTGCCACCCAAATCGGCATCATCGGCTGCGCGACAGGAAAGTCAAACTGTTGGTGGTGAGGTTGGCTTTGCGAAACGTCTGGCGGAGGACAGTCTGGTATACAAGGACAATGTCGGGTATGTCAACATCTTGCTAATAGCTCCCCTCATGCTCCAGTATCTTCACGTTGATGCTTGGTAAAAAGCGCAGCGTGCCGGCTGTTCGACTCATCATGAAGGAGATGAACATAACAAAGACCTCTGTTTACGAGATGTGCCAAGGGCGGGTGATGCGGTGGGGATTTGCATGGACCTTTATCTCAGACTTTGTTTTTCCGGTATGTTGTCTCTCGTTCCGGGAGAAAACCAACAAAGTCTCCATTTAGGTTTCTGATTTTAGACAAAAACGTAAATATAATCGGCAACCACTTGCATACATTCTCCCGCCCAGTGTATCCTGTCTGCCCAAGTACACGAGGAAGTGTCTTCTGGAATGGCTATCATCGGAATTAAAGAAGCTGAAGGTACGTATGTTTTGCACAAATTGATCAAGACATTCAATTCTGGACATGTGAGTGCTTCGGCCATGACAATCCATTTGATCTTATTCATGTTCACTGGAGTTTGTGCTGCTTTGAACCAGCTGAAAAACTGGATTGTCTTAGTTGCATATTCGTATCCACTGAACACCTAGTATTCCAATGTCGTCAATATGGGTTTGTTTTTCGGATTGTAAATTCATTGTTGATTCGTGCACTCCCATTATGGTCATGCTCGCTTCGATTCCGAATTGATTTGGTGTACTTAGATTTCTTCACATGTAATGGTGCGATCCACAAATTCCTGCTCTTAGACTTTTCTGTGCTGTCAAAAGTGAAAAGCTGCCAGCGAACTTCCCTATTTGTAAACGTTTTTTAACAAGTAAGTCCACTACTCCCGCTGGATGTCGCTAGATTTACGCCGTAGCATCCTTCCTTAGACCATTAAGATTAAAGGTCCCGTTTCGTTTTTTACGTTACTCGTTGTTTGATGTACTTGTTAAATTCCTGTATTAGTTGCTAGTTTTATTAGCACTTTTCTCTGCTGTCCTATAGTCTCGTATGATTCTGACTATGCACCCTCTAGATGCGTGTTTTGATGCAAAAGAACAAACGAATTCTGGGTGGTTATCACCTCTATGCAGAAGCTCGCGAGGACACGTGGACTCATGCACGTCGCAGGCGACGCGAGGCTATGATGTACCTGAGACAGCAACAGCAGCAGCAACAGGCAATGGATGAGGTGTCACAAAGTGGCGAGAGAAAGCGTAGTTTTCCGGAGGAGCTAGACAGCGCTGAAATTTTGAAGCGGCGACGGCTGAATGAGATTTGCGACGAGGGAACGGCCTGGATAGAGGAGCTATCGCACGATCTCTCAAACTCTGATTTCAACGAATCTGAGCTGATTCTCAAGGCCAATTTCTATGTGGAGTCCCAGATGAAAGGCTACGGTGGTGGTAGTGACGACGACGACGAATGCGCTGAAGGTGATGATAGTGGTGGTGATAATGTTGAGGAGACTATGGAGCCGATTAATGATGAAAAAGACGACAAGACCGTGGATCGACTCATCATAAGTGTAGAGTGGCTCGGTGGAACGGATCGGGAAATGGCCAATCGGGTACTGTGTTACCTCAAAAATAAGCTGAAATAGTACCTTTTTTTTGCAAATTTATGCATTATTTTTTATGTTCTGCTATTACACTGAGTCGCCAGTTGTGTGCCTTTTCACCAAATCTATAAGAGCGGTATTGTGTTGTGGATTACAGGAATCGTGCGTCTGGAGATGGCAGTTGAATGTTCGTTAGCGTTTGTATTAGGAGATTTACTTGATTCTCAATCATTATTGAGCGAAACGTGGAAGTGAAGCAAACTGGCGCCTTTTCCTACGTGAAGTTGTCCCGCGAATTTCTCCATTCCTTTTGCAGCTTACATACGTAGCGGCTACCCTTCAGTGAGTGCTGCGTGGTCTAACCGTAAGTGGGTTTGACCCTGTTTTCCTCTTTCTGATATTGATATTAATACCATTTACTCGTTTAGCGGTATCTGGAACTGTTCAGAGCGAGTCGTGACTGCTTATTAACAAAAAATATGAATTATTACTTAGTAAAGGTATCAAATTAGTGTTTATTTAGCTTGAGGAAGTCGGTCTGTAGATGCAGATCTAGGACCCGCAATTTGTAAAATCCTAAGCATGTAGCTTGATCTCACCAATCGAGAGCGCATTTCTTGCAGAATGTGAATGAGGGCAAATGGTCAAAGTTTGTCAAAAGCTTTCCCAAAGGTAAATTCAACTGCAATCAGATTGCTATAGCATTTTGAATAGTCAATAGAGGATTGTGACTCGACTTCAAAGGAAACCTTAAGTCTTTGGTAGTGAATCTGGACTGTTGCGATTTCGGCACTACTGCTCCTCCACAGGTCGTGGTGAGAGCTTGATAGGTCTACAGACAACTCATTCATTTTAAACGCTTGTTAGGTCATTCGTCTTTACTTGAGGTTTTTCCGAAGACCATTGCACGTAATCGCTTTGGCATAATTGATTCTAGTGCCAAGGGTGATGTTCCAGTCATCTATATGGATCATCTATGCCTCGGGGTAGCTGTCACAGGCGGAGAGGCGAAAGCTGGTGGCACAGGTGATGTGGGCAAGGGTTCGCAACACCGATACCAAAAATTAGTCCCGAGGAAGTATACATTGGGTTTTGGCGTGTAAGGCAAACAAATTAGCAGTGCATTAAAGGCAGACTTCACCTATTTAATGAGTCTCATCAAAAGTGAGCGAGTGGAAATAGAGGACCAGTTTCCGCGCGAGTCTATCCCAAAAGAGCAGCTTTTTCCATGTTTTAAAAAAGGATGGGTACCTTAAGATGTTTTTACCCATTGAATAAGCCCAATGGGTAGCATGAGTAATGAGTGTGGAATCGCTGCATGTTCATTTGAATACGCAGGAATCCGAACCTAACAAGTGGTTCCTTCATTTTGTAATTACTTGTACAAAAGATGAGGACGCTTTCATCTATTGTCTTCTGCTCAGGGTGACTTCATTTGAGCTCTTAACGGTTCACGCATTTTGACAAGAAAGCGGGCTTTTCCAGCATAGCCAACACCGTGGTTGACGTATTTCGAGGTTCTCCAAAAAGTATGAATTACTGTTATTCTTTTTTGTCAAACGTTGGCCTAGCTTGAGATATAAGAGCCAAATACTGCAAGGCATTCTCGCTTAGTTCTCCAGAATCCTAGGTAGCACATACACGATACCGGAAGAACAACTAGCGTGCTCTTGCACACTGGTGCCGCAGTTCGGAGGGTGACAACTAGCAACATTCTAAAGGCGGTAATTACGGTTAAACTATCACGCTTGATGCAGTACTGTTGTGGGGCAACATCCGTGACAAAGTTTGGTGGATTGAGTTAGGGTCCCCAAGTCAGTCATTCTTTATTAGTACAGTCAGATTAATTACACGCCTGTCCTATCAAGGTCAATACCATAGGTAAATGAAAAGGCCAAATTCGCGTTTTCGAGAATAACGGGCCCTATCTGTAAATTATAATATGAGGAAGCAATCGTAATAGTTACCACAATATATTCGTTTGAAAATTCGCAGGAGGGGTTGGAATTTTAGCCAGTGGTTTTGTCAGAATCAGCAGTTAGAGTCGAAATTCAGTTGAATCTAACCGACTAGAAAAACATTAGTAAAATTTCGATAAATCATGATAAAGCAACAACCGTACGAGGTCAGATATCCAAAACATGTTATCTTACAACAAGCACTTCTTTGTATTAGCTAATTTCACAGACTGGTTTTAGAGAGGGAACAAAATTTCCGTCCAGCAGTAAAATAATGTAGATACATGTCTAAAAGTAAGTTTGTGGAAAAATGAAAGCAAAAACAGTGCGTTATTGAAGGGCACACGCAATCCTACTGCCCACTGGCAGTGAGAACCTCCTTGTGGTGCGCCGCAGGCGAAGCAAAGTCGATTAACCGCGGCAGCGTCTGCTTCTTGTGACTCTTTGTTCTTCGTGGTCGCTCGGCCCGGCGTAACCTCGGTCGCAGTGGGACGAATGCAGGTCCCTCAAGCGCTGCGACCGACGAGGCAGCGATGCGATACGGTGGCGGTCGCAGTACGGCAGTGGTGGAGATGGAGTGAATCACCCTAGAGATCGGCTGATTGGTTGGACGCATGGGAGCTGCAAGGGACACTCGTTTGCGAATGAGCTTTATGGGTCGCGGTTTGAGTTCGTTGGAGTTCTGCAGAGCATAAATAATATCCGCAACTCACTATGCGTGGCAGAAGTCAGACGCTGAAACGTATTTTATGCCTTCTAGTTATTAGATTTTCCAGAAAAAAACGGCCAAATACCATTCAGAAACTGATCCTCAGAATAATTGTACAAAACTCAACGGGTGGAGAAGACAGGGACTCGAAGAATGCAGATGTGCCTGCACAATAACATTGTGATGGTGCGGAAGTTCACTCACACTTCGCGAGAGCACTCTCCCCAATCTTGCGACAGAATCTCTCGTGGTCGCATGTTTTCCACTCCGCAGACGAGCGACAGGCAGAGAGCAGTTGGAGGTGGTTGAGTTAATTCTACTTTTAATGGAGAGAACTAACTCGATTGACTTGGTGCGATGCCTTAGGTGAGGTATGGGTACCTGGGGTTTGCTGATGTTTTTGACCACTGCTACACATCGGTCTGTCGACTGAGGCAGTGGTATGGAAGGAGCGAGAGGCTGCTTTTCTCTTTCATGATTTTCCGGAAGTGCCAGTGGTCCAACTGCATTATTTATTCCACTACAATAAAAGCAAACGTACATGAGTGCGGGTTTCATTGAGCTCAAAATGAATTACGAGAAGGTAAGAGAGAAACCGCGCCCGGAATGTCAAGAAAAGGTTCTTCTAACCAAAATATGCACAAAAGGATTAATGGTAAAACACTGGTCCTATAGGTTTCATTATACGTAATCTTATCCCCACAAACCATGCCTGCCGCGCAGCAAATCCAGTGCGTGCTTCAACTTGTCTAATTTATGCTGAAGCGAGTAATGGGCGAGAACACAGACGGAGCGTTTCTCACCTCTCGTAGACGGGACAAATCCGCTGCTTTGCCACTACGTTTGATTTAGCTAACTTCGAAAAATTGGTATTCCAGAACTCATCCGTCGACACCGCCACAGGCACTACCGCTGTTACCAGCGATTGAGCCTCGACAACCCTAGAATCAGAGACTGCTGCAGGAGGACATGCGGCGAGGCGCTGGCTGCGGGGTTGACGCTCGCGTCGACGTTGAGAGACTGCAGCAGTAGCTGCGGCGATGATGGGGACATGAGCGGACACATGGGAAACAAGGGACGTGCGCGGTGACGGCGAGGTCGCCTCCTTCAGCTTCGGCGCCTCAGAGCTCTCGTTGGTCGTGGTGTTACCCACGAAACTTTTCGCCCAGTTGCGCAGAATCTGAAATTCAAATTGGAATACTCAAGAAACAGCTCGTGTGGAAGGCAAGTAAAATCTACAAAATCCATAAAAAAGCTGGCAAATTTGAATGAAGTTTTTTGGTTTTAAGGCGGGTGACTGCAAAAAATTTAAGTTGTGATATTCCAACTATGTAGATCATGCTATTCAAAACACGTGTTTGAGTCTGATTAGCTATGAAATAAGCATTGTCACTTTGAATTGTAGATACGAATTGATGAATATTCCTCAGCTCTTAGCTACGTAAGTACCTTTGTCATTATGAGACAAGCCTTCTTTCCTTTAAAAACGCCCTTCTCATTTACCTTCATGTTAGCCACTTCTGCTTGTCTTAGCTTAGTCGGCACATGACCACCGCTACGCACGGGCCCGAGTTTACCGAATCGAAGAGCGTTGTTAAGCAATGACTTCAGGTTGCAGTAAGTGCCCGGGCGGAATCGAACCATATCAGCGCAGGCGCTGGTAGCGAGCCGCGACCACGGATTCACGCTCCACATATCCAGTGCAGCAGTTAACAGGCCACGACCCATCTCATGAAAGTGCTCAGGTGTGTAGCGCTCGTCATGCGATATCACATAGCTGCCATGACCAGTGAGCTTGGCAAGACGCGTCGAGTATCCGACGAGGGCATCGGTGGCAGTCGAGGTGACGCTAGTGGGATAAGTGAAGAAGGAGGGGGCAGTGGTGACGCCAGCCGTGGGAGGCTTTGGCACCACCGCGCTTCCTCGCATGGGGCCCCACAGGGTGCCCGGAGGTGTAGCGCAGCGATCGTCTGATACTGTTGCGGAGAGGATGTTTAGAACGCGACCTGTCGGTGAGAATCATAAGTGAGACAGATTATTTAGTCCACACAGATGAAGGGGATATAATGAATAAAAGAATGAGCTAGCGATATGGCTTGTATGGCATCTCATATACCTACGAGGGTTGATGAATTGGAACAGCTTATCTAAAGCACTGGATTTGAGGTTATGAAGCTCACTGGAGGTGTAGTTTGCCTCAACGGTGTAGCAGTGTGTGATGCCGGTGTGCTTCCAGATACCCACTCGACCCGAGCCCTCCTTGGTTGTGTCGTTCACCTTGTCGCGGAGGTACATGTTCCGTAGGGAGAAGTTGCACGCACTGAAGTCAAAGAAAGCCGAGTTGGTTGCCACCAGACGCGCGTACAATACGTTGTCGACCTGGCCACACCAGAATCAGCGGCAGAAAGAGATTTGAGTCAATTGAAGACCAACCAAATTCAATAATAATGCAAACTAAGATGCAGTGATACGGTTGCTGCCAATTGGCAAGAAGGAAATTGATTTTAGAGAATGGTAGGAGATTTAAAGTACGATGATCAAATTAGCGGGCAGTTTTCAATGGAAAAAGCTACTATTGCAGCAATGACGTACAGAGTAGCAATTTCTTCTTGTTGATGCAATGGGGCAGAAAAGTTTTTTTGGAAATTTTGAAGATCAACGGCCAAACACAAGCACAAAGAACCTCAAAATTTAGGGAAGGTTGGTGACGGCGTTTTAACAAAGCGTTTAAAAGAAACCAATTCAAACTTTATTTTACTGGCCCATGAACTAGTGCAGCAAAAAGGGGCTAATCATCCGACCACATGCACCATTTGACGATCGTCTTTGAGACGGTTGCCATAGCAGAAGCAGCCACGTTTAGTACAGTGACCGTGGAGGTCAATGTAGCATTTAACACCACTCTCCTCGGGTCCAATGCTGCGGAGGCTAGGATGAGTTAGGTGGGCACCGGTGCAGTAGGTCAGGAAGGCCTCCTTTGCCCCGACATCCTGCCCGTCCTGCTTCAGGTGCCGCGCCACCATGTTTACATACACTCGGTCCAGCCTACGCATCTGGATGTCCAACTCTGTGACATGGGAAGAGGGGGGCAACTCTGAGAATATTTCTTGAGTCTGTCAAAAATTTTTGGTCGATTTGGTAACATGGGGATAGGTGGATTCTTGTTGCCACGGGATGATGACTATCTGTACCAACAATTTACAGTAGTCCACTGAATATATACCTACCTTCATCGTATTATAACACTAGGCTGATGTGTTGTTTTATGGCATTAGCTAACCATTTCCATCGGCAGTGCCGTTAGTAGGCTTCGAGGACTTCTTCTGCCGGAGGCTGTGCGAAGAATCCGACTCCGGGATGCATTCCTCCGCTTGCGGAAGTAATGACAGACGGTCGCCGTGGGCGTTCTCACGACCCTCCTTTCCTAACTGAGACTTCTTCGGCCTGACGAACGTTAAGCAGAATAACCACATTATGATTGGTTTAGCTTCTAGCACTTTGTCTACGTTGATGCACCATCATAAAAATATGTGGTGATGCATTTACATGCATATAAAAACCAGCAGTTCCATTACATTAGAAAGCACATAATAGTTGGATGAGTTGCTTAGTTCATGGCACAAATTGAAGTGATATTTCATGTCTAGAGAGCAGGAGGTATCCTGTTTTGGGGCAGTGTGTGGTAAGTACCAAACGTAAGAAACAGCAGATTTCAGTGAATCCCTAGACATGTTTCGTATTTGAACATACGATTCTCAGATCGGCAGTTAATCAACCAAAATGCGTGCATTTGATTAAAATATTTTGTTAGTCTGATAACTACAAGTTATTTGAAACTGAGGAGGGTCTGAAGGGCGAAAATAGGGAATTAAATGCACAAAGGTGTTTTGTGCATGTCTTAGGGTTTAACAGTGCTACCAGTGCAAAACGCGGCCTATGTACCACTTTGCGAGCAAGCAATTCACCTGTCCCTGGTGTCGTTTTCGACGAAGAAACTCACAGTTGAAAATAGTACGATTCTTAATTTGTCCAGAATATCCATTTAATAATCCTAAGACGACCGCAGAAAATTGAAATATGACGAAAAGAGCATGTATTTTAGGTTGTGAAACTTATAAGAACCCAAAGAAGTACAGTTAAAATCAGTTCCTGACCTGAGTACCTGAGGAAGTCGGATACTTATTGTATAACAGCTTAACATCCATGGCGTAAACTCAATGACAAGAGAAGATGACAAACCGAAAGCTGCACTATTCATCCCATTTTTAAAAAGTGTAGCCTTACACTTGATCAGAGATCTGCTGGATTTCTTGTAAACATTCCGAAGCCTCTTTAATGGCGTCACAATTCCTGCTGACACTGAAATTGGCTAAATCCTTTCGTCGTTGAATGGCCTGGATACGAAGTTTCAGTTGACCGCAGTTGAAACCACTACTTGCACACTGTATGTCCGGGAAGGACTGCTGCTGATCTTCCCCGTCTCTGACGCGCTTTTTAGAGGCTACGTAGCACACCATGCTGTCAGATTTTGCGTGCGGACTTGGCGATCTTTCAGCGTCTTCAGATTCGTTATCTGGTTTGGAGATTCCGGTGTCCTACATGTTGCAATAAGGAGATTCACTTATTCATGACATCTAGGAAGTGAGCAATATGGAATATAGTGGACTTATTCCTCCCCTAATTTATGTTAGAAAGAGCTTAGAAAGTCCCCCAATTTTACAAAATAGTAACAGCGAATTTTCAAGTCCCGAAATTGAAATAAAAAACCAAACGAAATAGGCTGCGATGACATTAATTTAAAAAAATATCGCTTCGCCGTTGAATTTTTGATGGCATATAAAATAATTGGTATGTAAAACTGTGCATAAGAGAGCGCCAAGTTGATGCTCTGAAGAGAAGGATTATTTAGTAGTTTAATTTTTGTTTAACTCTTCATTTTGTTAACAGGCTACCCGGAGCTCCGCCATTGTACTCCAGACGGGTGGCCTAGCCGACGGGATATGCCAGTAGTCTGGTAATTGTTTTATCTATTCAAAAGTGCTCCACATCCACTATTTTGGAGGTCATAGACAAGAGATGATCTAGGTTTCCTATGTCAAGGATTAATATGCAGCTGATTTCTGGTGAGGGCTAGTGGCAAGGTGCTCTCATTTAGTTATTGTTAGGCCGATTTCTACTAGCTACAAATTCGCTTTTTCTCTTCTTTTAATTTGCAAAAGTGGGTGCCACCTACTTTAGAAACAAGTAACAAGACATATAATAAATAATAACTTGCTAATTATACTTGCCACTAAAGTAAACAGATGTTGACAATAGTTGTGCTGCTGCTTGCACGATTTTTTGGACTTTGGGCACCCAAACGAGACTGGTCGTTTTCCCTCTAACGCCGCATTCAGTGTACGAGTCAGCTCTCTGGCCACGTCATGGGTCATCTCCTTCACTGATACTATAGGAGCACCTAGAGACTCCTTCCTTCTAGGTATGAAAGGCGGACGGGCAAGATTACCACTGTGAAGAGAGACCTCGGCGGAGCCAGTGAAGGAGCGATAGCGAGCTGCGAGGTTGACAAAGCGCTCGAATTGCCAGGAGGGCAAGCAGCCCGGGTAGCGAGCGATGCTGGCGTAACTGAGGTGGTGGTAGGTGGCCAATGCTTTCACGGCGTAGACCGAGGGATAGAGGAGGAAGTTAGGTTGAAGATAGAAGCGATTGAGATTGGCACCACGAGAATCAGTTCTGTGGTGACCCATTGCCACTCCATCTGGGTTAAGCATGGGAATCAGTTTGAAGACGTAGGTTCGACGCAGCTGGATCGCTCGCTCATCTCTCTCGCGTAGAAGGAACTCAAGTACGCCATTGAACATATGACTTCCTGGTGTCTCGCCCGGGTGTACACGGGCGGTGATTAAGAAGACCTATGAAACAAACATGGCTGATTGGACACATTATAAAGTGCCTTAATTAAACCCTTTTAAAGGCACAATGACTTTAAGCGATGGTGTTTCACACATATTCGGCTTATTGAAATTAGCTAGTATTGTGCCAGTCGCCATCAACGTCAAGAGTTTTCGTCATTATCATTGCAAATTTGAAGTTGCTCTTGTGGTCATACTAAGTATTTCATTTATCTATAAAGGGAAGGACTGGGAGGAATAAGTAAGATTGGAAGGTGTATAGACTCCAAATGTACAGTATAAAAGTCGTGAAGTCAAAATGTTAACGTACTAAAACCAGAAAATTGATGATTTTGAAATTCAGAAAATACATTTTACCTACTGTATGATTTACTACTGCAATAAGTCCCTATTAACAATTTTGGGGTATTGTTTGTAAGCAAGGTGTGTCCTGGTTAAAGTATCTTCCTTTGCTTACGCAACAAAAGCAATGCTGCTCTTGGAATAAAAGATTCCTAGTAAAGCTAATGTTTTCGTTGAATGACCATTCATGGACTGCCTAATATAAAGACGAATTTGTCAGCTTGATAATTCACTCAAGCATTTGATACCGTACAATTATAATGGTAAGGATTCGGCTCATTTAGGTAATTTGTCCTGACAAGTCACTCTCCGTAATACACGAATGTCCAATTAAAAAAATTCGAAGCAAATTCTATTCATCAGTCCAAGTTGGTAAATTTTAAGCATCAATCTTCAGAAGGCGCCCAATTTTGCTCTCAATTTTTATCATTCTCTGATTAGTGTGGCGCAGTTACGTAGAACTGACCTTCTTTTTAGCAAATTTATGAGGACGAGGAATTGACTGCTCGGGAAATAGAAGGGGGTCAAAGCGGTCTTCCAACTCCGAGAGTTTATTCGTATTGTCCGAAATGGTCAGAAGATCTATTCGTCGTCCACATAGGCTGTAGCAAAGAAGCTCACGGTGAAAGTATATAGATGAGGCGACTTTGGCGGAATCTGCTGTCATTTGAGTACTTTTTACGGCTGACATGGGAAAAATAAACATATTTTCGAGACGCTTTAGTTGCAGTTGAGTGTCAAGGTAGGTCCACGGATAGCTGAAGGCGAAATAAGTGACACTACCCGATTGTTGCGTGAAACGGTGCGCAAAAGTAACCGCCGACTGTCCATCCACGACTTCTGAAATTGGCTCCTCTGTTATTCGCATCCAGCTAACAAAGTGGAAAAAATAAAAGGAAAGCGTGACAATATTTGCGTCCCTTAATTGCAAAATAAATAGTTTCCTCAATAAGAAGAGCAGTCGACTAACAAGGAATAATTTTACAGTAAAGATAGGGACTTCGATATTCAAAAATCAGTTTTGAGTGAGAATGGAGCAAAGTGAAGTAAATAAAGTAACTAAAGCAATGTGGTAATTTTTGAATCCCAAATGACATACCATGGATCATCAGTAACTGAGTTCATAACATTAAAAACAGGCGTATAACCCTGGCTAAAGACTTTTGATTGATGGCTAACGTTCATAATAGATATTCTAATGACTGATCCAGGAGCATAGTTCCGAACTGAGAAATGAAACCAGGACTTATTTCCATTTTCAAAAGGCGTGCCATGTGCGTCAGGATAGGTCCAACATTTAACGTGATAATCCGGTTTGCTGCAAAGCAAAGGCCTTTTTTCCGCCCCGCTTATTGTTACTAGTCGATCGGCCCAACTCTGCATCTGAGTTTTACTTGATTGTGGTCCAGCATATTCAATGCTTTCTTGAACATTTTCAACTTGACCTAAATTCCCCGAATCAAAATTAGCAGAAAAAAGCAGTGCACCGGCTTGCATTATTTTTTAAACTCGTTTTTAAAAGCCCTCAAATAATCATGATTTTGCAAAGCAAGACAGAAATAACGTGATGTCGTGCAATTTGACAAAAGCGCTTGGAATGTCATAGTAACCCAGAGTTGACTACGAAATAACATATTGAAAAACAAGCTAATAGCGAAGTTAATTGACAGTCGGCACAAATCTAAAGCGGTTGAGTTACCCATGCTACGTTCACATAAGTGTTTCAAGTATGGCTGCTTTTATAATACGACGGTACTTGAATTCCATTGGACTTGAGTCACATGCGTAGCGGCTCAAGACTTACCTGAAGGCGAAAAAATGGATGATTCTGGGGCAGGAACTGTACCTTTGACATATGGTAGGGCTTAGGTAGGCTGGCATGACCCAAAGATTGGCTCACCCAGCGAAGGCACAATGGTGGGGCAACTAAGTGACCCTTTGGCAGAACCAAGAATCAAACAAGTAATTCACTCGTTTTAATTAGTAACGAAATATTACTCTAATTCCCGAAGGCGTAAGGAATACCTGCATAATAAATTTGCTACTCCGTTCTGTGTCTGGTTTTAGAATCTGAGACAAAGAAGTGTGATTTGTCGGAAGCCTCATAAATTCTTGGGGTGAACAGATGCATAAACGGCCTAGGTTTTACAATGAACTTAAGAATGCTTAAGTCTTAGAAACCGTTTGATTACTCCTGGCCACAAGATTAGGTTGTTTGTCATAACAATCACTGACTATACCCAACTTTGTTAACAAGGAGGTTTTTGAATGGTTTGTTAATTATCTTACAACATGCCGTGAAGATGCAGTTACTCCTGCTGACCGCACTATTCCTCCACCTTATTCGTTTGTTAATGGCAAGGTCATAATTCGGCTTTCTGTCTGTGCGTCAGTCCGGCGTGTTACTATTTCACCGGCTTGCATGGTTCAATGTCGTCAGAAAAGCTCTGTTTAGGACGCATAAAGAGCATTGAGCCATATCACTTAAATATATCTCTGCTTTATGGCGCAAGAGGGCGAGTTCAAATTGCTGATGTTAGCTCGCCGTATCGTGAAGCTCTTGAACAACTTCTTTCCGGGGATGCCAATGTACGCTGGCTAAGATTTATCTACTTTTCTCCACTTAGATTAACGTCAAAAAGTTAGACCAAATGTTTACTGTTGGTCAAGTCGTTCGGTGTTGTCTTAAGGAAGGGGAAAAAGCACCGGAAAACTTTGACAGACTGAGAAATAGTGTTCTGGAACTTTCTCTAAATCCAAGCCGAGTGAATCAGAATATTAGGAAGGGTCAGCTAGAATCTTTCATTACACTCGTTGGCGCAGTTAGTAGTATTGAAGACAACGGTTACATAATAGATGCAGGTATCCATGGTCTTAGTGTTTTCCTCCCCTTCGATAAAACGCCTCTGCGGGGTAACTGCATTACTGGTTACGTCACGTTTATTAGCACCTGGGAGGTTTTCAATTGGAAGTCTGGTTGAGTTTTCAATAATAAAAGATCAATCATCAGGCATCAACGCAAGAGTTGCCCGTGCCACCATGTTGAAGAAGCAAAAGGTAAGGTCCCCTGTCAGCTTTTATCATTTAGATTCATGATGACTCTCTCCTTCCATTCGATTGTTTTCTTCCTGGGATGCGTATTCCCCTCAGAATTCGCTCAAAGGGACCCGAGGGTTTGCAATGCGATTTTCAGTCCTTCAGCGTCTATGTGCCAGCGCAACATTGTCCTCTTGAGGTCAATCATTACACAATAGACAGTCGAGTTAGTGTGAATCTGTTCAAATTTTGTTCGAAACAATTGTTTTTTTTTAACATTAATGTGTCGGTTTAGGTTATTGCATGCATCGTATCCGTGGATCATTTCGCAAAAGCAATAATAGCCAGCTTGTTGCCCCACTTTGTTAAGGAGGATCTTGATGGTAGTCGGAGCCTTTTAGCTTTTAAGCACGTCAAAATTGGATCCATGCATGATGACGCCGTCCTGAAACGCCGTGAACGAAATTGTGTCTATCTATGGCTGCCATCCCTACAGAAATGCGGAATCCTCTTGGTAGACGCATGGTCGATTTTTCATCTGATCCCTTTTAGAAAGCAAATGCGTTTGATGTGGCGCCCTCCAAAAGGTGGACCTCACAAATCCCAGAAAACACACCCATGAAATGCCGCGTAGTTGACTTTGACCTATTTTTGAACATGCCAGTGATTTCCTGCAGAAAGTAAATTCATTGTTACTTCATGACCGGCCTTTGCAGGCGTGTGCTTGAATCCAAATTCCTATCTTTGAATGATGTTAATGTGGGTGCCACCGTTACAGTAAGATTTTCTTCCAGAATTCCGTTTTAGTTCTCTCCTAGGTTACTGTAAGGAAGTTATTAAAACGGGGTGTTTCAGTTCGTCTGGCTGGAAGAATTCGTGGTATCATTCCCTTCATGCACCTTTCAGATGCACCTATAAAAAACCCTCAGGATCGGTTCAAAGTCGGAAGCAAAATCATATCATTTGTGGGTGAATTATTCGCTTATTTTTGCCTTCACTACTGCCTTCCACAGTACTTGATTGTGTTCAATTTTTAATTCAGGTTCTTGGAGTTGATCTAGAGAAAGAAGAGCTTCTGCTAACAGCCAGGAAGAGCCTCATGTCTTCCAACCTACCCATTCTGGGCAGTTCTAAAATGGTTCAAGCCTGGGAAGAAGTGGAACACAGCGACAAGACGGGAGCCAAGCACCTCCTCGTCACCGCTTTCGTCGTTCACCTCAGCGAGAGGGGCGTGCTCGTATGTGGCATGAACAATGTCCGTGGCTGGATTCCCCGTCGCCAGACTTTCGTTGAAGATACACAATCTGTGGAAACATTTTTTAACAAGGGCGAAACTCTTCAGCTTCGCGTAATAAAGCGTCTTAAACAGGACCCTCAACGCTCAGACAAACCTTCCACTCAGTTCCTCCTTTCACAAATTGTAGGTAAGGGCTACTCACTTTGTTCTTACTGAACATGTTTTCTACCGTCTAGCTTGATCCGACAAAGGTTCAGCGTCCAGCCCCCCCAGTGAGCACATCAGTCTCTCTGGGAGAGATCTACTACTGCCGAGTGAATAGGGTGCAGTCCAGCGGTTTGCGAGTTGGCCTCTGCACCACCAGTGCCACAGATGCAACGATTATAGCGGAGGCCACGCTGCCCTTCCCCCATCTCTCCGATAGCATCTCCATCGCCCAACTAGCGCGGCAGTCGCGGTTAGACTGCTTCCAGCCCAAGATAATGCTCTCTATCAATGGGGATGGCGCCGCCTCCTCACCCACGCGAGTCGTTGTCGTTGGTGTAACCACCACGGAGGTGATTGTTTCGGCTAAACCGTCTCTTGTTACGGCTGCAGCGGGTCATGAGATGGGACCTAAGAGCGGTGGATTTGTCCGCAGTTTTGAACAACTTGTGGTGAGTGACTGGGATGCCTGTGTGTTCATATCTTGTTTGTTTGTTTTTTTTTTGAATTTTGCGGATTTGTTACTCCGTAAATGCAATGTGTTGGAAATCATCTATTTCACATCGTAAGAGTACTTTCTGTATTATTTATGGTATGGATTCTTGTTGTCCCCCTTTATATTTTTCATCACTTCATGTGAAACTAGGGTTACCAGTAACCAATAGATGAATAATAACGATGTAATTGTCGCCTATCTACGCTACTCACAATCCGGATTTTCAGAAGATCCATCACAGTGCGGAGTCCCTCTAGTCATTGAAAAGGCGAATTCATTAAGCCTAACGAATGTTTGTCCGTTTCCCATTTGGCTGCTCGCGAGGATTTGTCTTCTAGCCAATTTAACCATACTTAGCAGACCGTCTTATGCATCTACGGGGGGACTATTTGCTCATATTTGGAACAGAAATTTCCATTTTTGCATACGTAAAAGAGCCATAGAATGTCGCTACCTCGTTTACCTTATGACCCAATGCATCCTTCGAAGATCATCCGCTCCAAACTCGGGCAGTACTTATCCTAAAGCAGAGATTGTAAAAAGATTCACATGAGAAGCAAAATCTCTTAAATCTTTTCAGGTTGGCAGTCAGTGGGTAGGTTGGATTGCGCACCATAAGGACTACGGTGTGTTCGTGGAGTTTCCTGGTGGGCTACGAGGTCTCGTGCCGACCCGGTACATCTCGGATCGTCGGGCATCGCACGATATCGCGTGGCCCCTGCTCCTGCCCCCCGGAGCCAGCGTGGAGGCCAAGGTGGTAGAGGTGAGCGCCTCGCAACAGCGCTTCCTTCTCTCTCTCCGCATGATGGATACCTACAGTTCCGCCGCGGAGCAGTATGTTGAAGGGGCGATTGCTCGTACCCACCGATATCTCGATGAATGCCGGTGGATATGCTCTCATGGTATGCGCTTTCTCCCTTACCTTAAGCGATTCCATATTGTTGAAATGGTGCGTTGAACTTTGTTGCGTCGTAGTTTGAAATTTATTTTTACTATTTGGTTATTGGAGGTGGGAAACTGGTTTCGTGTTTCGTTTCGAGGGATACTCATCTGTTAGCTTTAGGGCATTCAACGTGTCTTTACCAACTTTTCAACTGTTCCGTTTCGTGAAACCCCTGTTATCTTCCTTCTCATTTTTTTTGAGACCCTGTTGAGAATGAAAATTTGTTGTGCTGGTGGCGCATTTGAGTTTAATGAGATATTAACAAGTTTTGAAAAATAGCTGCTCAAACTCCTGGCGTTCTTGCTTTCTTGGAGTTTCTTTGGAAGAGTTCGCTGACATTTTTGTTACGCGACCTCTCGTTACCTCTCTCAACTTGCCTTCCCTTTCGCGACATATCCGCTGAGGCTAATTTTGCTTGGTTTACTTAGTGAAACCCATCTAGCTAGTTTCCATACCCTGGTAATTCATTTTAAACGGTCCGATATCTCCGAAAGGTTAACGTTGTCAAATGCATCCTCCCTAATGCTTCCGTTAAATCTTCGCAAACTGTCACAATTTTTTGATTGTATGTTAAGGAAGACAAATTTGATTGAAACAAACCCAAATGTACACCTTAGACGGTGATAACGGCTTCTCGCTTTCGTTCGCTTGACCAGTTTTAAAAGCCATAATGGCAGCGGCGTAGTAATCTGACATGTTTCCAATTCCTCTTATTTGCCCCTAATTCATTTGGTTTCGTTGTTGCGATCGAGTGGTGTGAATAGTATATTAAACCTTTTTTTCCAAAAATTGCGACGCTCCTCTACAAATGTTTTAAATAACTCATACTCCATTTTCTACTGTTGCTAAAGTAGTAGCTGTTTAGTCAATCGTCACACATGCAAGATGTCACCGTGTCGTTTGCCGTTGACCACCGTCACCAATGAAATCCATCACTTGAAGCAGGCAATCTCACCAACTGACAATGAAGACTCCTCTTGGCATCTAAGCTGCTGTTAACGATGTCAGCTCACGTGGCAATATCGTGCTTGTTTCATGCGAGGCAGTGGGCAGTCGGTCTTCTCACCTGCTGGCTTGAACTGAATGTCACAAGAATGCGTTCATTCCTTATGCCTCATTATAGCCTTGGATAATTATCTTCCAGTTAGCCACACCTAAATGTATCGAAAAATGGTTTTCTTTGTAATTGGTCCTGCACTCTTTTTGACTTTCTTAATCCCCAACTCAGCCGAGATTGGGGAGAATTGAGGGGCTTTGAATTCGTCTATTGTACTCCTTGTGATCACGCAGTGTAGCGTTTTAGAACATATTACTTCAGCAGGCCGTCGTGACAGGCTTGTTGAGAGCTGAATGATTTTGTGAACGTGCCGTCTTCCAGTCAAGAAACATGACGACCTTATGTTCCGATCGTGGTTTTTTTAGCTGATTGCAAAGTGAGAGTTAACTCCAATCGTTCAATAGAGTACTTTCAACTAACCTCTACCTCTTTGAGCTGTTGGAAGGGAAACATAATTCTAACCCTTAGCCGAATTTCGACGGTTGCAAATGCGTGTTTACCCACAAATTTCTGTCAGCTTATCAAACTTTGCCACATTGTTATAGTATTTCAGAAAATGCTACTAACCACCTTTTCTCACAAGTACAACTTAAATCACTTTTAAATGGTTAAGACAGAATTTTTAGTCTCTTACTGTACTTGAGATTAGTCTTTTTTCACTACAAATACATTTAGAGTACGAAAGTAGGAGTTTTGTCCCCTCTTTCCGTGAATAAATGCATTTCTGAAGACTCACAAATATGCATTTAAATTAAACAGACCCCTTTGCGCAGTGTGGCGCTGTAGTGCTTGAAATACCACTGAAGTCTGAAAGCGGCCTTGTCACGAGCCTACAGGCTGGAATGAGAGAATCTTAGGCATTATGCACAGAGCCATTTCAACCGCGAAAGACTGGAAAGACCACTTTGGTTAAATGCGCAATTAAAACAACTTTATCTTACAGTGAAGCACCTCAGTCGACTGGCACAATTCGCTCTGGGTGAGGTGGTACACCTACAGGTAGACGGTGTAACCGAGGAGGCTGTCACGGGCACAGTGGCCACAGCGGCAAATAGTGGTGGGGGTAGAGTGCCGGCTGTTGCTCTTCTTTTAAACACGGAGGAGGTGGAGTGCGTAGCAGGCGGTGTTTACCCCGCCGTCGTTACCCTTCCTAACCTTGAAGCCGGGTGTCTTGAAGTGGCCCTCCTCCCGTGGCTCCTGCGCGGCGTCAGACAGCGCGCTGGTGGACAATTTGCCGCTGATGCTATGCAGGTTCATCTATCTGTCCAAATATTTTAGCTTATTTTTCATGCAGTCACTTAGGAGCTGATTTCTAGCACTGTTAGTAAAAATTTCTAACTCTTTTTTTTGACGTAGAGGTTTTCTGATATTCGACAATGCTGAAGTCCGGTTTTATTTTGGTAAATTTCGGTCGCTCTATTAGTGAAGTTTCCTTCGGAACCCATCTCAGAATACTTGACTGCAGAAATTTTATTCTTGAGATTAATCGCAATTTAACATGCGAAATGTGAATATGCGTAACTGAGTAATTTTTTTAACTGCTGGTTTTGTAATTATTTTGGTGGTTGCGAAATTAGCTTATCTACGTTGTATTTAAAGTGTAAACAAAATTCCATAGTCATTACGTCACTAAGCGATTGTTCGACAAGGCAGCCCCAGAGTCATTGGCCCGTAGTAAGAAGTTAGAGCAACAACAGAAATCCTGAAAAATATTAAGTTGGAGATGAAGTAAAATGCCTACTTAGCTCATAACTTGTTGGAATCGCCTTGCAGCGAACCTTTTTTGTGATGGATTCCTACTACAATTAGTGCGATTAGATTTGATGGAACTTGGAAGCGTCCCTCGAGCTACTTCAGTCACAGATTCCAGAATTGCGGCTAAATCGAAGAAGATAAATGTTATTTACGTTTTTGTCACTCACTGTTTTTACAGCATTGCAAATCCTGAAGCTTGTTACTAAAAGGCGGGATTAATGATCGGGGTCGAAATATCTGGTGTTTGTTCATCGCTATTACTTAGTAGTGGCGACATGTCAGGTATAGGCGTCCAATCTCGCTGATATAGGATAATACAGTTTCAAGAGCTTGGACTACATAGTGTTCAATAAATTCGGTAGCCTGATTGTGAAGTGATTAGGTCAACTGTGGTCACATAGTAAGCCATTCCTGTCTGCAAGTGGCTTTGCTGTCGAAAAAAATGGCCAGAAAGTAGTGCCGCAGAGATGCTAGAGCTTAATACCCCTGGCATGTAGACGAATTCGAAAATCCTTATGGTAAAGTGGCGCTCTGTTATGCTTCTCTGCTACAATCTGCCACTGTCCAATGTGTCTGCTTGCAGGTGCGTCTTGGCCAGAGCATCGACTCCAGCGTCGTCTCCTTAGGCAATGGGCGCGACGTGGTAGTGGTTGCCCTCAAACAACACGCACTAGGTCATCTGGCGGTTGTGCCGACACGTCGGTTCTTCAACGACCTCATCGGGGGCAATGCCTGGGCCCTAGCTCAAGTCAACCGAGTCACTGTTCGTAGGTGCGTCTTCACTTTTCTTTTTTGTAAGGCTTTTTTAATCTTGGAGAGTGGCTTGACTCTGTAATTCGCTTGTCTGTCTTCTGTCGACTGTGCTTCATTCTACAAAGGGGTTTTCTAATTATATTGTTCGTTTTTCATTTTCTGCCCGATTCGGTGGTTGTAGCGATTGCTAATGGGTAGAAATATTTGCCATTATTCCGTGACTGAATTTTTTGTTACTGATTTTTTCTGATGATTAAATGTATTTTAGAGTGCCTTATCAATTTGTATGTAACACTATCTTGCTACTAGTCCTTCGGATAAGAGCTATTAACTCTCATGGATTGCACTGGCCCTTTGGATTAAAATTAAAGTACCCACGAGTTTTAGAACATGCTTATTGTCAGTCTGCAGACTGATTGAGGAACCGGTATAGATTGGTATGGGCATAATTGCATTTGATCAACTCGGTAGCAGACTCATGGGGAATTGAAAAGGCTCGCGCAGACAATTATACATTTAAAATATCATGTGACACCTTAGCGAGGTGGAATCTCACAAAGCAAACACCAGCAACAAGGCCTTCTTCGCAACCCTGTCAATCTACGACCCTCTGAAGGAAAAGCCAAGGACAAGAGCAGTGGGAGGAGCAGCGACGGAGATAGAAACCGTGTCACCATTGCCAGCGTCACTAGAACAGTTGACCACACCGGGCACCCGTCTACCCGAGGTTGTTTTCATTGGATTGAAGGGGCGCGCCGCTCTTTTCCGCCTTCCACACACACGGGGCTTACGGGAGATACGCTCACGCCTCATCTGCCGCCTCGTCGACCTCGTGCCAACAGGAAAGGCGGCGCGCAAATTTCTTCACTCCCCGCCTCCCTGTGGCACCGTCTTCCACAACGCCATTGTGGTCAATGCACCCTCCACCACGGCGTTGGAGGGAAAAGGTGGTGCCAGGCTGCCACTCTCCTGTCGTGTTGCGCGAATTTCCTTTGTCGGCAAGTCTCAGATGTGTTCCTCGCTTTGTACTCAGATTCTGTATATATGTGGGGAATAATGGTTTTCTTTGTCCGTAAATGGACGCTTCTTTATGAATGGAGGAATGTTATGTATGAGATTGTCATTGCAATGGAAATTGATGATCGGTACGATTTTTATGTAAAGTTCTACGATGGTCGGCAGGCTACGCCTGTAATGTGCTTCGCTCCCTACGATAATATATATAAGCTAAATAGTTGGGTGCAGTCAATCCTCTTTTATCACTCAAATCCTAGATGATGCGAATGTAGCGTAACTAAGAGTTAAAATGTGATGCAGGAAGCCCCATAATGTAACCCATTTTCTTCAAACGCTAGTCAGTTAAACAGGCAAAATATCGAGCGTATAATGTTTCTCCTCACAACGCCTTTCCACCATCCATTCAACAGAGAAGGATCCGGAATTGGGTGATCTGGTGTGCGCCATGTTCTTGGGCGTATCGAACATTAGCTGGCGCCTCCTTCTGTCCAATAACGCACGTGGTTTACTCCACGTCTCCTGCATGTCCAAATCCCACACCACAGAGGCATCCAGTCCCCTCGCCACTCCCCCTTTGCAGTTTCCGCGCCGCCCCAAAAACGGTGTCTGGCTCACGTGCCGCATCATCGACGTGGCGCACGAACAGACAACAGTAGCGGAGGCAGCGGATGAAAGTAGAGATGACGAGGCGGAAGTGAAGGCAGAAGGCAAGATTGGGCCTCAAATCGCTGAAGGAGACGAAATTGTGCCGGTTGGGGACGATGAAGATGCACCTTCCAAGGCACCTCTGAAGGTCTTTTATGTCTCCACTGAGACCTCTGATTTGTAAGTGTCGTTTTCAGATTTGACTCTATTTTCTAGGTCTGTCTGCTTATTAACTCCCCACTTTCTCCTTTCTCTGTGTAGACGCAAGTGGAATCCTGAGAAGTACCAGGACCTGGATTTGGCGTTGGACATACCGATGTTCGGATTTATCAAGCGTCGATTCAAGAAGTTCCTAGTTGTCAGGTTGGGTGTGAATTTTTTTGTATCTTCACTATTTGTTCTGATTAAATTTGTTGTGTGTTAGGACAAAGCCATTTAGTGCATTTTGGATTTCACGCCGTTGAAGGCGTTTGACCGGTGCCGTTGTCTAGTTTACTCTCTTTGTAGATTTCTATCAACATTTGTTAATATGTCACCTTTGTCGAATAAATTTTAAGCGTGTTGCTCCTAAGATAGACAGTAGACATTCATTTTCTTTCTGTGCACTTTTTGAAAATAAATCTCAAAATAGGCTAATATTCTTGGACTACTTTTGTAGCCTCAACTACAAGACCGATGCAGTTGTACCTTACTCCGCTGCCTTCCTGAAATCCAACCAACGAGTAGGCTCGATAGTTCAAATAATCCTCACATCGTAAGTTTCACTTTTTCCCATGAAATACCTTCTAATGGGGAGCATTACTTTATTTAGTGACCTCCAAATCTTCAGCAAAACAACCCTCCTCAGTTTTTGCCTATCTATAGTGAAAACGCAGATTTTACAAAAAAAACTAAAGCAAGTGCTCATTCACAATAATTACTCCTGACTACAAAATGACCTCTGTTATAGTTGACTGCGATAGTCACTGACTTATGTAATAAAGATTTTGTGATTGCTGTATTAGTAAAGTTAAAAAGTACGTCCGTTTTGCAAAGAACGTACATTCAAGAGGTGTGGCATCGCTGACATGTCACTCCACGACCTTGTTCCAACAGAAAAAGCAAACATGCTCGCGCGCTTTTTCAAATGAGAATTAGGTGAAAGTAGAAAGCTATTTTCTTAAGGCAATCAATGTTGCCGTGTGCGTACACCTTCCCCAGCGCAGTACCAATCGGCAAATTCCCCTTCCCCTTAGACGTTTTGTCTCCACAAGGCAAGAATGTACCTAGTCATACCCACCTCCGCTACAGTCTCGCCATTGCCCCCATCTCCATTGTCTAGTCTATTTTCCACATGATTTCGCAACCATGTAATACCAGAAAGGGCCGACACTCACTTGGTGTGTGGGGCATCCTCATTGGGTAGGATGCAAGGGGATGAGGAGAGGGTGACTGAGCATGAGGCAATACCACTTTCTCACTCCCCCATCTATCCGCACTCAGGTGATTTTGGGTGGGGCTAAAGTGATGAGTGCATTAGAAGTGTGGGTTGGGTGGTCAATTGCTTGCTGGTTTGCCTAACGAACGTTGCAATACAAAGCCGTGCCTCATCACAAGCCCTGTAGTCGGTAAGACTTCTAACTATCCAAGGCGCAAGACGCGTTGTTATGCTGCACGTGAAAGGGGTGCGGAGCAACTTGGCGGTTCTTCAAGCCTGTTGCATGTCATCTGCTGTTGGGGTGCATGCATGAAACTCGCCTGCCCCTTAGCTGCCCCTCTTTGCCCTCTCCACTTGATGTAGGTTTAAACCAAGCGTTTCACCAGCATTCACGCTAACCGTGATCGGAAGTAGCAAGTGACGCGTAAATCTCGAGGTCATTCGACCACCATCAACACGTCGTGTCTCGTCAACGTGACTTTGTCTACCTTGAAGTGATTCACCTTCAGAGGCGCACTTTTTGAACCACTTTTGAGGAGCATGTTTTGCCACCGCGCCTTCTGCAAACACCGTTGCACAAACCTGGATGAGAAGCGAACTCTTGCAGCGGAGGAATCGGGTTACACGCTAGTTGTTAAGCAGAGCAGCTGCAATGACATGCACTAGGTTCGGTTGACACCCAATGGTAGAAGAGGAGGTTCAAGGCGAGGGAACAGTGGTGGAGGGAGGAATGAGGGTTACTGCCAGACTGATGCATCTGTTTGTGTTTTGTGATGCGTGCATGAAACAGTCGTGCGCATTTGACGAATCCACACTACAGATTACAAGAAGTCATCCA